ACTATAATCTTGTAAATGTGCCCAAAGATGAACACATTATTCAGATAATGGCTTATGAAGATAAAGTAACAAATTCTATCGGATAATAGGAACAAATATTCCTCATGTTTGCTGGCTAATGTGAGCCAGAGGATCGTTACACAATCATGAGTGTGAGAAGTGAAGGAGCGTAAACACTATGAATGAAACGCTGCGCTGAAATCAGAAATTTCTGGATTTTTTGGTTGGTATTCTGTCTTTATCCGTTAAAATACACCTACCATAAAAATGACAGACCCTTCATTTTTTTGTAAGTGTGCAAACTTACAAAATCAGCAGGGGATCAAATAAATATTTTCCCCACTGTACAGTTGTACATGTTCTATAGATACAGTTCTGCATGTTCATAACACATCCGCTTAATAGTGTGAAGTGATTTCGTTGTGCTTGTTTGTGTGTGTGAGATTGATTATACAGCACTTGGTAGTTAGGGGCGTGCGAAATGACAATTTTTGACAAATATGACTGCTTTTGAAGAAATATGGTAGTATCGTTATACAGCGCACATTCTATCAGCTGCAGTTCTGGCGCCTCCGTATCAATATGAAGAGTTCATTTGCAAAAACCGATAAATCACGTTTTTTTATATTGCGCATTCCAAGTATTATCAATCAAACTGCAGTTGGGTTGTTTCTATTAAGTGATAATAACTTAAACAAATACAGGTAATTTACAAAATTAAAGTTCATTGAAAGTATTTTTTTTTTACATATTAAAAGTGTGTTTTATAGCAAAAGCAGCTAACTCCACATTTCATGTTTTAGAGTTTAAAACACACTGGTTTAATCTTTGTAATCTCCTCAGATGATAATGTAGATGCCTGAGAAACGTTGTTGTTGTTGTGATCATAAACTGTATGGATGTGATTACACGCGATACACGCAGCTTTTCCCTCAACATTGTAACGCGCTGCTTTTGCAAGGTTCGGTGAAAATGTTTCAGCTTTTATTTTCCTTTTTCGCCCTGAAGAAGATATCACAGATTCATCAAGTGCGTCGAAATGATCCTCGATCACTTTTAGTCAGCTTTGACGAGACTCCTCTCAGCTAGCGCGTCTTTTCAGAGTGAAAGTAGCCTTGTCACCTGACCTGAATACAGCGCGCTGATTTGCTGAAATGGATTTATAAGGCGCTTGTCGGCTTCTGCAGTGAAACGTGAACTTGCGATGCCTTGAAAGTGGACAAAACCGGCTTTTTTGACAAAACGTGTTTAGGTTTCAGATCGCGCTATATGTGGATAATAATGCACGGCAATCAGCTCATTTTTTTAAAAGTGACGTTTATCGGTTTTTGCAAATGAACTCTTCATATACTGTACAACATTCACATCAAATGTTAACTCTGTCTGCAGTGGAGTTACACTCACGGGACACTGCGCAATCACAAAAGTACATTATCTGCTTTAAAGTCTTAGCAGTTAAACATTTAATTCATGTGCTGTTCTGACGTGAGCCTGTCAAACAGCACCTGATTACTAGACTAAGTTGTCTTTCGCGTCTAATACTGTCAAAAACACACACGGTTGTCTGAGGTGTTGAAAGTTAGAATCGAAGTTTGCCCCGCTACAGCAATCTTTCGGGTCAGTTTAATTCTAAACAGTTGGATATTTTATCTTTTACCTCCTTATTAGCAAGGCGCCGTATTTTGCTCCATAGGAAATCTAACAAGCCTCTGACTATATCTCAGTGGTTAGTAGATACCATGTTTTTTCTGAAATTGGAAAAAATGAGATGTTCAGGGAAAAGTAATTATTTTAGTCAATTTAATTGTTTTACAGGTTACTTCAAGTCTCTTACGGTCTTACCTCCTGTTTAATACGATTACGTTTATATAACAACAACATTTTATTATTATTTTATATTTATTTAGTTTGTTCTTTCCATTTTTTTTCTTTTTCTTCTTTTCTCTCTCTTTTCATTAGTGGTTGTGTAAAATTGTTTTGGGTTTTGGTATGTAAAAAAAAAAAAAAAGTGGTAATATTGTGTAATAACTTTTTTTTATTTTTTTTGTAATGTTTGTTCTAATAAAAAGTTTCAACATAAAAGCACACAAGCCTTACATATAAACACAGTTGGCTGGTTATGTCTAAAATGAAAGTAAACGGATGCGTGCAGCTCTTAAAGGCACAGGAGACTAAACATGCTGCCGCTTGTCAATAAAGGAATAGTTCACCCAAAAACTAAATTAATGTTGTTATTTACTGACTCACATGTTGTCCCAAACCTGTATTAATTTCTTTCTTGTGCTGAACACAAAAGAAGATATTTTGAAGAATGTGGGTAACCAAACACAACAGGAGGAAAACATACTCTGGAAGTCACTGGGGACCAACAACTGTTTCTTTACCCACATTCTTCAAAATAACTTTTATGTTCAACAGAAAGAAAGAAACTAATTCAGGTTTAAAACAACTTGAGAGTGAGTAAATGATGGTATAAAAATAAAACACTATGACAGAATTGACAGACAGATGACAGAATTTTCATTTTTGGGTGAACTATTCTTTTAATGTTAATAAAACAAACAGAAACATTTCTCACTGCTCTTGATTGATGAACTTTCATACAGTTGCTTTAAAAAAAAGTATAATTGATGTATACAGTGTATATAGTGTTTTATTTTAATATTTGTTCAATTTACTGAATGTTACTGCTAAATACTGTGAAATACCTGAAAAATATATATATTTTTTTATCTTCGCCCACTTTGGCCTAAATCTCTGCCATTCTTTTTTATTTTACATTTTGTTGAGGTGTAAGATGTGTTATGTTTCTGCACTCTTCTATTTTTAGCAAATTAAGAAAAAACTTTGTCTAAAACAATTTTTGTGATGGTTTGTATTTTTTGTGCTCTGTGTTGAACATCAGTGCCTGTTTAATGATGAACTCCATTACTTGTGTTTGTTTTCAGACATGATAACAGACGTTGTATACTTGTGCTACAACTGTTTGGCCTGTGCTACAAAAAAAGTTAACGTACAGCCCTGCTATTTATATATATACATAT